GCAAGTGGTTGTAGTGGCAGACCTGAAGGGAATCAAGCTTTTGATTCCTTCCTTCTCAGGATCCAACAATGTCTCAGCTAGGGATGGCAATTTGAGCCCTCCCCGTCGGGTATTATCTGACTTGACCCGTGATAGGGTGAGCATTACCCGACCCGCAGTAGCGTGCAATGAGGCATGGGTATCAACTTTCGACCCGCCCTATCCCGCCCCGCCCTATTTTTTGCCCGTTCTCGATCAATTTCTTACGCCATCCATTCATATATCTTCTATTTTAGCTTTTCTTCAACTAGTTAGACTTGATCTTTTAACTAAAAATAGACTCAATTACCCATTATATTATCACTTTTATTCATTCATGGAGTCTTTTCCCTTTGTTTTATCATAAAAAGTAAAGTTTTGCTTGTATTTTTTCTTCAACTCGCATATAAGAGTGGATCGACCCTCTCCGCCCCATTCTCGCGCTGGTATTACCCGTCCCAACCCATAGTAGCATGGAGCGAGGCATGTGTATTGAGGTACCCGCCCTGCCTCGACCCATTGCCATCACTAGTCTCATCATACCTAGATTGGGAAAGGAAAATAATTCTCTTCTTTCAATGTGGCAATTACACCAATTCCCAGAAGATCTCGCTTGCCACCTATGAGTTTACGGACTACGCAGCATTGTGGTGGGAAAAGGTGCAGCTTCGACGACGAAGAAACCTTCAGCTTGTTGTAACGACTTGGGACAAGTTGAGAAGTCTAATGAGGGGCCGCTTTGTACCCGAGTATTACCAAAGTGACCTCTTTGAGTCCTTACAAGAAATTTGGCAGGGTTCGCGATATGTTGACGAGTATTACAAAGAGCTTGAGTTGCTCTTAATGAGAGCCGTTGTTAGAGAAGATAGAGAAGCCACGATCGCGAGGTTTTTACATAGATTAAACAGGGAAATCCAATATGAGGTGGAGCTTCAACCATTTGTCGAGTTGGAGGAAGTTGTCCATCTTGCAATGAAGGTGGGGAAAAAGATGAAGCTCTCTACAAATCGACGATTCCCAACGGCGACGAAGACTGCTTCAGAACTTGTTCAAGGAAACCCTGTGATTCCAACTCGAATAGAGGGAGACAAGGGAGCTGTTTGAAATCAGTCAGCCAAAGCCGAGGGATCCAGCGCCCAAATTCAGTGCTTCAAGTGTTTTGGATGGGAACACAAGGCCAATCAATAGGGAGGGAGAATATTACTCCGAGGATGAAGAGGACCAGCAAATGGAAGCTACATTTGATTCTGATGGAGAAAGGGTCAACGAAGAGATTCAGGTTGAAACTCCACTCTCGGGAAAGTTGTTTGTTGTCAGCCGAAGAGCTCTCACAACTATAGCCCAGCCTGAGACAAATCAATGAGAGAACCTTTTTCAGACCCGATGTTATGTTGACGGTCAATTGCTCTCTATAAACGCGACGGCGAAAGCTGTGCTAACGTAATTAGCCAGGATGTGGTCAAAAGGCTCGTATTGACGACCAACAGGCATCCAAAGCCGTACAACTTACATTGGCTCAACGATTACAGAGCCATTAAGGTGAAATGAAACGCGCAGAGGCCAATTCAAAATTGGGGATAATAAAGACGAGCTCATGTTTGGTATCACACCCATGCAAGCTACTCATCTTCTTCTGGGCAGGCCTTGCCAGATTGACAGAGGTGTGTGCCGTTACGGCTGCACCAACTACTAAAAAGTTAAGCACGGTGGAAGGAAAATATTGCTGAAACCTCTGTCACCGAAGGAAGTTCGCGAAGATCAACAGCAGCTGGAGGCTAGTCGATGGCGAATCATAGGAGAACCATTTGGAAACATCACAAAGATTCCAAAGTAGCTACCCTAACCACTCGGCGATTAATGTTAATTGGTTACAGGAAGAAGAAGACCCCTCGTCGACGGCGACTCTGCATTTTTTCGCCGGAGCAGAGCAGGAGAGAGGGAGAGTTGGTGTGGCTGCTGGGAAGCGATCTGAACTCAGCCACTAATGCCGAAATGTTCCATGAGTCATCAAGAAGCTCTCCTAGCGATTGAATTGAATCGAATTTTCCAAATTTGCACGATCTGGATCACGCTAAAATGCCCCTGCAGGAGCTCGAACACGAGGAAGAAATGGTGCAATTGGGTGGGGTGCCTAGTAACGATTTGACACAAACAACCGATGCGGAATCATCAAAGGTCGACCGAGGAAGCTGTAGACCCCTCGAATCAACTGAGCGATGGTTAGCTAGAAACTCACAAATCGGGATTGAAAATTCTGGGTTGTACAGGTTTGAATATCGACGAGGATGGGAAACATCGAATTGTTGATTCAACAATCCCAACGATGATTCGAGAGACGGGGCTAGTCTAGAAAGTCAATTCGAAGCAAGGCGAGGATGATGGTAACCACGAATTGAGCTGGGAATGTCTAAATCGAAGGTCCCCAATTTTATGGATGCAGAACACTGAACTAATTTTCCATAAAGGCAAGTTTGAGCAGCCCTATTTCGAACCAATTTGGGATCAGTTGTGTGACGAGTTTGAGAAGCAAAAGGAATCAGCTTTGAGAGCAAAGCTTTTTCATGAAGGGGGCCTGATATGATCCTAATTGGATCAATCTAAAAGTCATAATTGCTTGATCATGAATCAATCTCAATCACTAACACAAACTGCCAGAATTTGGCTAAAGTCTGGGATCGTGTTCGGGAAGGCCACTTTGGAGCTCCATTCAAGAAAGAGGGTTGAGAATCGAGTCTGGAGCTCGATACCACATGAAAGTACGTATGCTAATCTACAAAGACAAGGCATTGGTTGATGGAGTACTTACCATAAGGTCTTCGATCAAGAGGCTCAAAGATGGCATTGAAGACTATTTTATTACTTGGAGTTGAAGGCAAAATTTGTTTCCTTGTTTGATTCGGATTGTTATTCCTTTTCTGTTTAAGCCTAGTTTTTTTAGTCCTACTATAATTAGGAAGACTTGTAGTTGTAGTTGCCCTAGCTATCTATTTAAACACTCATTGATTGCGTTGTAATTCATTCAAGTTTTAATCAAAGAACACGTTTGTTCATAGAGCCTTGTCTCGTGAATCTGTCCTTGTTTGAGTGGATTGAATTCCATCAACCAAGCAAGCTCAGCATTAATTGAGTATACACCTCAATTGTGGATGAGTTGTTACCACAAACTCGATCGAGCCTCTTCCCAATTTGGCAAGAAGTTTCACGTTCGAAACCATCCCCTTCCTTTGCTCTATTTTTGTGTCGAAGAGACTCCAATCCATTGATTCATTGGAGTTGAGTTAAGCTAAGCACCCTAGCTTGAGATCAGGGTGTTATCAGAAGTCAGTTTTGGCTCCAATGTAAAACCACATCAGCGGTTATAGGTTAGCTCAATTTTGGGTATGAAGGCGGTGAAGAAGCATGATAAATATTTGGGATTGGTAACAGAGGTGGACAAGTTGAAGAAGGAGTTATTTGTATATTTGAAAGAACGTGTCCGTAAGAAGCTTGCAGGGTGGAAGCAGAGATTTATGTTAGTAACGGCGAGGGAAGTTTTAATTAAGTCGGTTGCGCAGGCACAACTGACATACACGATGTCTGTGTTTAAGGTACCAGATGGGATTATTGACGATATACATGGCATGATTACCAAATTCTGGTGGGGACAGGAGGTAGGTGAGAAGAGAATACCATGGGTGGCGTGGGAATCTTTGATATGCTCAAAAGGCGAGGGAGGAATGGGTTTCCAGGACCTCCGAGGCTTTAATCAGGCACTCCTAGCGCCAGCTTTGGAGCTTACATCAGCAACCGAGATCGTTGATTGCTCGGCTCCTACGAGCAAAGTATCATAAGAATACTTTAGTGTACGACGCAAGTGTTGGGTACAAGCCAAGTTATGTTTGGCGTAGTCTTGTGAGTGCTCAGGAATTCCTAGTTAGTGGATTGAGATGGCGGATCGGGAACAGTTCTTTAGTTCGAATTTGGGGGGATCGCTGGTTTCCTATGGCCACAGAGTACATTATGCAGTCAGCGCCTGTGGGTTTTGAGATGGACTCGATGGTGAGGGAGTTATTTGATGAAACCACTAATCAGTGGGATAACACCCTCATCGAGAGCTGCTTCACTCGAGACATGGCTGATGTGATACGTCAAATCCCGCTACAGAACATGGACGAGGTGGACAAGATGATCTGGGCATCTAGTAGGGATGAGAGATATACGGCGAAGGAAGGCTACAAGAAATGGTTGGAGGATGTACGTGAAATAAAGGGTCTGTCGGTGGTGGGGGACTTGACCATGTGGAAGAAACTATGGTCGATGAATGTGCCACCTAAAGTGCGTATTTTTATGTGGACTGTGGAGATTTGCAAGTGAATCGTTAGACACCGGAGTTCGAGGAAGAGCCAGAAGCGGGGTGATGCTTGTCCATTCTGAAACCTTAGGGAAACCCAAACACATTTGTTCTACGAATGTGCTTGGGCTTGCCGGCTGTGGAGAGCATCACATGTGGCGTCGTTGTTTGAAATGATCGCTGACGTGGCTTGAATGGGTGGAGAAGCAACAAAAGAATCATCGGAGGGAGACTTGGAGGATTGGAGTATCATTCTATGGATGTTGTGGAAAGAGAGGAATACCCTCTTATTTAATGGTGAGAAGATGGACGAGTCGGAGATCACTTCTCACTCTCAGTCTTTGCTTGATGAATATAGGTTGAGGCAAACGCGCGAATGGCTGGCCCCGTTGGCAACACCAGTGAAGATATGGAAGCAGCCAAGCGAAGGGTATGTGAAGGTGAACACCGACGTGGGAATTGATCCTGCAGGAGCAGGTCTCGGGGTATCGTGCGTGACCACCAAGGCTGGTTTCTGATGGCAGCAGCTAAGCGGAGTCAAGGTATGAAGGAGGTGGAGCTCGGGGAAGCCTTGCCAGTTGAGTTAGGGATGATGCTTGTCTGCCAACACCAGTTGGGAACCCCGGTTATGGAAATGGACTTCTCGAACGCGATGAAGGCTATTCGCGAGGCAGAAGAGGTGGAAACGGAACTTGGCATTGTATGTCGGGAAGTGAGGAAGCGACTTGAATCAATAGGTGGCATAATGAGGCATGTATGTCGGGATCCTAACGCGGCAGCTCACATAATGGCACACTCAAAGACAAGATGGGATGAAGCTGAAGTGTGGTTTGACCGCCCGCCAATATTTTTGGTTGATCAATTAAGTCTGGATAATGTAACAACTTCGATTGATCAATAAAGCTCTGTGTAGGTTTCTATAAAAAAAAACATCATATCTCTCACTTGGATTGGTTATACTGGATGGATACCTATCTAAAACGGTAGGTGATTTTTATGCTATGAAAAGGCTGAATCAAAATTAATTTACGAATTTAGAGGTCGTTTGTTTCGTGAATTTGGTTGATGGATTTGGTACCCAAATCCAATTCATAACGAATTTAAGGAAAATCCATTATTTGCTTGCACTTTTTTTAGGGACCAAATCCATGGGCCTCACGGACTTGTAAATCCTAGGGCTGGAGATCGGTTCGGGTCCTAGTACCCGGACCCAAATATGCGGGTACCCGGACCCAAAAAATGTCAGTTTGAGGAACCAGACCCGACCCAGACTCGGTTTTTGGGTACCCGAGACCCAAAGTCACGGTTCTCGGGTATGGTTCGGTCACCCGAATACCCATAAGCCACCGAAGACAACTTGTTACAGCAGCTCTCTTCCTCCCACCTGCTCGTTCCATGCTTGCTGAAGGATGACAGAAGGTTGGTCGGCGATTTGTTGATTGTTGATGGATGATAGTCGGCGATTTGGTGAAGGATGATTGTAGGAAGGTTTTTGTCTGCGTCTCTACGAGAGGGAAGTGGGGAGTGGCCGCTGGGAATGGGAAGGTCGAAGGGGAAGATGAAGCTTAGGGTTAGGGCGTTAGGCTGATGAAGGCTGATGAAGGTTGGGCTGTCGGGGTCGGGCTGAGGAGTGAGGGGGGGCCGAGGGCCTTAAGGCTGGGCTGGGCCATATAATATTTGGCCTGTGGGCTGGGGTTCGGTTCCACTTCGGGTCCTTCTATTTTCGGGTCCGGGTTCGGTTTACCCAAAACCCGAAAAATAGCCAGATGCGATACCGAGACCCATTTTTCACAATGATATTTCGGTTCTCGGGTACCCAAAACCCGGAATTTTTGGTCCGATTCCGGGTTACCCATAAACCCGAACCCGAACATCCAGCCCTAGTAAATCCCACATATTGATGTGGGATTTGAAACATGTCATAAATCCATTATGCGATTTTACCCATGTACCATCATGAACTTTTAATATTCCAAGGTTTGTACATTATAATTAATCAATTAATTGACAATAAAGAAATAATATAAATATTCTATTAAAGTGCAAACATGAGTTCGATTTTTTATACTCTTTCTTGTGTTCTAGTTTCATTTTACATTTTCATGGAACGTGGAATTTTTTGTTCTCTCGGTTCTAATATATATTGCTATGTGTTACTTTTGAAAAAGAGGACAAAGAATTAATAACTTATATATGTTACATTAAAAGTTAAACAGAATTTCCCCATTTATTATTATTATCATTTGTGACAACATTATACTTATTAGTTACTAGTTTTGTGCCCGCCCGATGGGCGGCGAGTGTTATCTGTTTGTACTTTTCCTTCTATTATTTGTTATTTTTTTCAATGATATCAGATTCCTAATTTTCATAATTATTTATTATTGCTACCTATTATCACTGACTTATCTGATATGATGGCCGCTACATTTACTCTATGTTTTAATGATGATCAACAATAAAGTCAAACAACGCTGTAACTTTATCACCGCTTGGACCAACAATTGTCAACTTCATAAGTTGTACATGGTTTAAACTCGTGTACGCCACCTTACCGAACTCCTATAGAGTTGGTATTTAGACCATGTATTAACGAAGTTTGGCACATGATGCTATACCATATTCTCTAATAGGTGAACCATGGTCTCTAATTCTCTAATCCAAATCGTACGATTCATTTAATGAAAAATAATAACCACCGATTCTTATTTGTCAAAATATATTAACATACAAATAATAGGTATGAATGAAGGTGCATATTACACCTCGAGTGTACGCTAGCCTTTTCCACCATTATATCAAAGTACAACAAAACTATTCTCCTATGCTTCTCACCTTCAACATTGTACGAATGATATCAAAGCAAATGTTAGTTATTGAGACACTTTGTCTTCACTTCACATTATCATCCAATATTAAATATGTGACTGACTGTAACTCGAATTGTGTGACTTAATACAAACATAAAGGCGCTATGTTGTGCAGTCAGTATAGTAACTAAATTTATAGGACATCGTCATGATATGATCCTGCGTTGATTTTATAGGACACCGGTCCGGGTACATCCCACCCTGGTATACATGACATCGGTTAGGGTATGACCCGCAGTGGATTTATAGGACACCAGTCTAGGTACGATCTGTGGTATGCATGACATCTACTATACAACCCGAGGAATGTATGACTTGGCAAATTAAGATGTAAAATGCAATGAACCTAACCATGCATGTGATTGAATCCTTGTATAAATATTACTTATGATGTGGCTAAGTGATGACTTACTATGATGTGATATATGAAATGTGCATGTCGATGATGATGGTTTTCTATGGTGTTTTATACAATGATTTAAGATTGGATGATATGATGTTTTGCTATGTTGGGACATGGGTTACATGGTAATGCCAGTATGATGTGATATTTGATGCATACATGTTTAAACATTGAGTTATCAAGAGGCTGGGTGATGGTCCTTATGTTGTGAATTGTGATGTATGAATTCTTTGAGTTTGAGATGATGAATGTGATATGACATATGGTGATGAATGGATGTTTATTTGACTGAATAAGATATAACATATCGCATGTATCTTGACAGTTAAGTTAAGGCAGAAGGCCTCAGAGGTGGGTGACGGAAAACTAAATACTCCATGTTCTGCCATGGTCAATAGGAGGGACAATAAGTCATTTTGAACTATACTCTTAAAGGTAAAGGAGAAGATATATATCATTATCTTATGAGTAAGGCCGTCCGGCGAGTATAACGGTTACTAAAAACAGTAATAGTAATACATGTATTAGGATGTCATATTAAGTAAGTATTAAAATAGTTATTTACATATCAATCATCATATATCCAATAGTTTAAGATTCGTTTATAAATCTTGCTTAATTTAGGTGTTATTCATCTGAATATGACTCAAAGTTGCACATCTACACTCATGTATGAAAAAGAAAGGAATTTATGTCAAACAATAAAAAGAGAAAAGAAAGGAATTATAATTACATTAGGAAAAAAGTAAAGACAATGTATTTTATAATTGTGCATGGAAGAATATTTAATGACGTATGGAAAATGAAAAGAGAAAGAAGTTGGAATAACATAAACGAAAAGATAATGATATCATTTTAATATGCGAGAAATGCCAAATTCAATCCTAAAAATGACAAATGCATTATGTATATGTACATGACTTTTTTTAACTTCTTTCACCTATTGGTCACAAACATATTTAAACCATATAACCATAATTCGGTTTTGAAAAATATACAAAAAAACATTTGGTGACCAATGGTGTCTAGTGATATTCTTAAACACATGAAATTTTGTGTATATATCAATGTACCATATGACTGAACTATGTTGATATATTTCATATATTTATAGTAAGTATTTTCTAACAAACTGCAACATATCTACATTGGTTCACATATTTATAGTAGTTCGTACAAATAAAATGTTAAATTATTTGTGTTCTAGAATGCGGAAGAAGATTATTCTTTACTTTTCATTTTTCAATGTTAAAAGAAAATCACATGTAAAATGATGTAAAAGTTTATAATTGTGTACCAACTAAATTTATGCTTTTTCAGATTTTTTTAATTATTTGTAAGAAATTATAAATAATTATGAAACATATTATAAACTAAAAATAATCTATTTGTAGATGTTAATGATTTCTTATCAATGCTAAAAAATATTATATAAAATTTTAAACGTGATAGCTATTCTATTGGTTAAAAAATAGTTGTGATTAATTGCATGAAAGATTATTTATTCTATTGGTTAAAAATTTGAAATGATTACAGTTTGAGCTTGTAGGTTGCATGATTAAATCTTAGTTATGATAATTGATATACATGTTTTGTTGTGGTTAGTAGCATCAAATATACTTTATCCTAGTGGTTGAACATTTGAAATGATGATAGTTTGACCTCGTAGTTCACAGGTTCAAATCTTGGTCATGATGATTGATTTACATGTTTATTTAGTTTTATTTTAATGTAACTAATAACTTAAAATGTTAAAAATGACAAAATGACATGAAAAATTGTGGAGATTTCGTTGTCCTACGTGACAAAAATTTGCTCCACAACGGCCATAATATAAGTTAAGATTAGTACGATTGTCCTTGTTTTGTGTATATATCCTAAATATGACGAACAAATAGAAACTGATAGTAAAATAATTTTAGATTTAGTGATAAAACATCTCAATAAACAAAATATTTTTATAAAACCATAATACCACAAATTTTTGGATTTTTAAATTACAAAACTCACATTTTCAAAGGAATGAAACAAATTTCGCAAAAAAAAAAAAACAAAAAAAAAAAACAAACAAACAGGCCTTTACAAAATATCTATGTTTTCATAACCGGATCGGAGGCTAAACCGAAAAATTTAGTGGTTTAAGGGTTCACCGGTTAACCGTTGGTGAACCGTTAATGATATATAACATATAAGAGTTGTATATTACTCTAATTTAAACATGAAATTATCATTGACCATAAACAAGTTCAAATTCATATCATCACGAAAATATCTAATAAATCATTCCAACCATCTCACAAAAGAAACCACATTTTTTAATTCAAATTTAAAATTACGGTTGTAGTTGGTAGTACACAATGTAAAATCGACAATAAAGGTTGAGGAAGCATATATAAAATTAATAATTATGATTTGATGGTCTTAGTTTATGTTAAAATAGTTTTTTTCGTTAAAATGGTGAACCAATGGACCAGCTAAATCGTGTCGGTTCATCTGATTTTATGTTGAACCGTGAAAAACCGTTTGGTCCGTCAATAACAATTCAAACAATGAACCGGACCGCTATCGTAACTGGTTTGACGGTTCTACTGGCTCGACTGTTGATCCGGTTCGGTTCTTATAACAAGGCAAAATACCCTACCCCGTCTATCACTGAATTTTTCGGAATATCATGCGATGCAATTTCAGAGATATTAACCCTTTCCGTAAAACACATCATCTCTCGATTTCCCCTCTCAAGTGCCCGCGCCAAAAATGAAACCCTAAATCTTGAAATGGAGCCAAATTCTATAGTCTCTCTTTTGCCTTAACAGTTAATAATCACCGATTGTGCCCAGAGTTCGACGGAGAGTTTGAATTGCAGCGGTGGTGGGACGATAAGAGTATCTTTATCGCCTTGTACTGGTCTTCCGAAACTGACAGGTAAGTTTGTGATGTTTGATGGATTCCCTTTTCTTGTTATAGTTACTGATTCCATTCATTTCGGTGAAGCGTATAGGTTCCCAGAATTGGAAGTATATGTAGTTGCCTTGCGTTGCATCCACATAGAAAGTTATGGTTAAGCGGAGGTGTAACTGTGGGTTGAGGAAAGCTGGGAAAAGGCGTCGTAAGGTGGAAGATACTTCATCTACTACTGACAGGTTAAGCCATCTTCCTGAACCCATTATTTATCACATTCTTTCGTTCCTCGATACCAAATCCGCCGTTCGGACATCTAAGTTGTCCCGATCATGGAGTCGCGTGTGGAAGCATGTCCCTGTCCTTGATCTGCGTAGTAGTGCCCTCCGAGGGCTTGTGCGTCTTGAAAAATTTGTGTGCAAGGTCCTGTCACTCCGCTATGACCTCAATGTCCGCAAGGTTAGCTACATTGATGATGTAGGCTATGGGTTTCAAAGACACGAGAGCATGATGGTGAGGGTCATCAAATATGCTTTTTCTCATCGGGTTCAACATCTAGTGGTTGACACCGGATATGACAGCAATCATGATGATACTCACAGATTCTCCTTTTTGTTTGGACCAATCAAGAATTGTGATCATCTGGAAACTCTAGAGTTAGGATCTGTAACCCTTGACAGTGGATTTGGGTATTCTGGTTTCCGAATGCTGACAACGTTGAATGTGAGGGCGTGCATGTTGGATACTGATCAGGGGGATGATCTTGATCTCTTTTGCAACTTTCCTTATCTGAGGAATTTGATATTGTCTGACTGCTTCCTTCCTTGCACAAAAAGTGAAGGGAATCTGAGGGTATGTGGACCTGAATTGGTTAACCTGGAATTGAATGCCATGGATCAATTCAAGATTGAAATTTTCACTCCGAAACTCACATACTTGAACGTTCGTCAAGACTTGGACTCCCTCGGATTCTCCAAGTTAACCCTTCCTTCCCTAGATCATGCAGATATTGGGATGCTCAAAGTCCCAGGGTATGATTCTGACAAATTTAAGGCACAGATGCAACAAAATTTGACCTCCTTGTTCCATGGTGTGCATAATGCAAGATCTTTGAAGCTACATGGCTTTAGTGTTGAGGTAATACTTTGACCTAATGCATGAATGACGTAATTATTTCCTTCGAGAAGATTCTCTCATACTCTTTAATTTGTCTATGTTCTCTGTAGATAGTGGATGATGTTTGTGAATTTCTGAAACAACAGCCACCCCCCTTTAAGAGATTGGAGTGCTTGATCGTGGGATCCGATAGTCTACCAAAGGAACTCATTGATTGCTTTTTTAAAGGGTCTTCTTGTCAAGAGCCATCTATTGTTTATGATCTGTAAGCAGACAGTAGCTTACATTTGTTGTCCACATTTAAGTACTAGTTAGAACGGGAGGGGAAAAACTCTGTTTTGTTGAGGAAGGCGTAATCTCTTCTTACCAGTGCCATTGAATGTCCAGTAAAGTCGTCGTTGACAACTTTGCCACAGTTTCTGATTTTGGTTAGTGTTTCCTTTCCATCTTTTTAGATCATTTAGATAGGAATAGTCACACCCGTCTATTGTTAGTTCTTGAAACAGGTCGTTCTGAATCACTTTGCAAGGTACACAACCTGTTCTTTGTGAAATATGACAAGCGCTATTGATCTATTAGACAAGTATGTGTTTCTCCCAACTGCTGGATACTCATGGCTGGTATTATCATTATTGGTCTTTCTGCTTGTACTGGTAGTTGTTTTCCCCCTAATTCTTGTATTGGCAATTTGGACAACATGACAATTAGATCTATACCATTTTATACTGGCTCTCTGTTTGATTATTTGAGGATGTTACTTTGCCCGATGACAATTCTTTTGTGACTGAATGAATGGACAGATAAGCTGATCTCAGTTGACTTGACACAATTCTTCTGCTGTAAGGTGAACTGCTACCTTAAAGAATTTGTGGATCGCATGATTGGTCTCTAATTGCTTGCTTTTGATCGTTCAATTAAGTTGGGTGATGCTCAGTATCCTGCTGCAATCATCGACGGGGATCCTGTCTCCACCTCTCCTCTCTCAAATGTGACTGAGGGTGCTCATTAAATCTGCCAATCCTTTCAGATGAGTTACTTCACAAGCAAGGTTCCTCCCGTGCCATCGGCTAGGGAATATTGATGATGGAGACCCACCATGGCTAGAGAGCTACCTTGAGAGTTGAGAGAAGTAAGAAAAGGGCCAAACATTCACATCAATTTCGAGTTTGAGGGCTACAGTGCTACACCATGGTGATCCTTAGTGAGTGGTGAATGGTGATGACAGCCAAGAAAATTAATTTGCGCTGAGAGTCGAAGTGAGGGTGCTTCTCATTCGTTGGGCTCGGGAACACTGATCTTCCTCGAGGCATGGTTAGGTCAGCTACCTCCAGAGAGGGATGATAATGGGTCAGGTTGGGTCTCAAATCCAACTCACCAGGGTGCACCCATTAAAAAATTCGGTAAAATACCCGTTGAGTTTTAGAAGTTAAAATCCAACCAAACTCAATGGGTATCCATGAGTTCACGAACATAATTATATCTTATTTCTTCCAACATCGATATTGTAATGTTATCGAAAATTTCCCCCTCTATAAACAATACTAACATCCATAATGTATTCATATTATTAGGTTTATATAAACATAAAGGCTAATAACATCTATATTGTTCCGGTTAGATACAAAATGATGTTATTTTGTTTTATGGGTGTGAGTCGGGTGTAAAGCGGGTAAGGTTTGGGCAAAACACAACTCGACCCAACTCGTTAATTTCAAAAGTGGATAATGACGATTAATATAAGTATTGTTTTCATAAATATGGATTGTGCTTAGGCGAATAATTTTTTTTGTTGAAGTCACAAATAGAATGATGCAGAACATAAATAAGGCCATTCATACCGGAAAAGTGTTAAAGCAGAACAGAAATACGACAAAGCATATTACAAAGTACTAAATCATACTAGAAATACAAGAGATGAACTCACACCTACATCAGACTGGTCTCCAGACTCTCCACTTTAGTTACAGTTGGGAAGTTCTTACTGTTTGGCGCTTGGCGGTCTCCACCCAAATCAGAGGAAAAATAGCCTCCCAATGCCCACATTTGGCATTATAGTCATTCGTTTAGCCCTTGGCTGTGGACACGCTTACTAGTAGTTACTAGATTCAGAACCGGCCCGGCCGGATACATTTCATTAATTTATAAACAAAAATAATAATTATATAAAATAAGATATCTTTTTCTTAGTACCGTGGCACCGTGCAATGATGCAAAGGAACCACACTTTATTTAACTACTTTGGATTACAAATTATTGCAAAAATTTTCTTAGACTTCGTTTCATTTCAGTTGTCCTCTTGTCGCATTGAAATTTGATAATGATAATTATTATAGTTCTGAATTTATAGTCTTCTCTTTTTTATGATAATGGCAAATTTTCTCTCTAAGTTCATTCTTTTCATGTTTAAGTGAATAGTATAATTAAAAGATACCAGTTTTACAAAATAATATATTTTCTTATTTACGATCATAAAATAATATGAAATATTCAATTATTTGAAAATTGATAAAATGAGATACATCATAGAGTTTTCCAACAATTATACCGAGTGATCTATGAAGTTCCTTATTGAAATGAAAACCAAGAATAAAGCAAGGAATCTAAATTCTAAGAAACCTAATTTAATTACACTTCATTTCATTTTACTATGTTTTGTCAAACATTAGAGCAATTTTCTTTCGACTTCTTTACCATTGGCCCAACATCAACATGTTACTCTCTCAACCATTAACAATATAAACTATCTTTATCACCTACCTATACTATCTTCACTGTTAATTGTCTCTTCTTCTTCTTAACAACGTCGTTATCCATATCAGTGACTCCACTACTTCATTTCATTGGTAGCAAATTTGAAAGCAAAAGTTATGCAAACATCATGAAACATCATTATCACGCAAAATATCTTTAGAGAAGAAGCCTTCGAAACATGGATTTTGCATCCCATAGATGTTGTTCCATCCTTCGAAACTTACTACACTTAGAAGCCTTCAATTCGAGGAACTAAATGTTGTAAACACATTCATAATTAAGAAGGAATTATGATGTCGGGCATATTCACAATGATGTCGGATAGAATGGTAACTTTGACCTAATCTATTTTATCTGTTTAAAGTGGGTAATACCCACTCCATAAGTGGGATAGGACGAACATGAGTATAATTTTACATAAGTCACATTTAATTTTATTTTTATTGTCGCATATGTTGCAACAATAAAGTTGTAAATAAGTGAGAATCTCAATTACTTGAATAATTTAACTACATTAATCATGTATACTTTGTTTCTTAATTTTTTAATTAAAAATTAATATTTCTAGTATTTTTAATTTAAATTATAGGGTAATGTCTATTTTTTATCCAAACGTTTTTCAGATTCTTTAATATTACCCAAACCTATTAAAATGCTATTATAGTCACTCTCTCGTTAATTTCCCGCCAACTCCATTAACGGAGTTGGACAGAGGCGAACAAAGAGTGACTAAATGTGACATGTTTCAGTAATTCGAGTGACATTCATAAGAAAAAAAATTAATTCGAATGACCGCAGTTGGACGGAGGCTAATGGGAGAGAGACTAAATGTGACCCGTTTTAGTGATTCGAGTGAACATAATTTATATTAATTTTTTCTAGTGAGTAAACATAACACGATTTAGTAATCCAAATGACCAAATGTGGCATTTACCAGGAAGAGTACATGTCAACAAAACATGAAGTGACGAATATGGACTTGGCCTAATGGTTCTATAGCTAGTCTTCAATAGTTCAATCTGAAGATTTCAATTTCAAATCAGGTAATATATAAAATTAATGACACTCTTTAAGAAAAATCCTAAAGTGTACAAAGTTTTGAAAATTCGGTGTCCAATTTCATATATATTACACTTTCATGTTATTATTAAAGTAAAATTTAAGTAAATTGGATTTAGAGTTGAGTTTCAGAATTTTTTATATGACATTCAGAACTTGTCATTTGTTAGTTTTTATACCCATGATATATACAAATCTTAACAAGAAAACTACCACATAACCTGGCCCGTCGGCCAGATATTGATATTTGTGTATTTGTGTATTCCACTTCACTAATAATGTTGATGTTTGGAGTGCTTTTTTATAAAATTATCGGAGAATAAATTAGAAAAGAACTCAAAGTATTTGATCAGCAATCTTGTAAAAATACAGAATCTGTATAGAATATATATGAAGTACAAGAAATATTTATTTTCTTTATTAAAAAATCAAGAAGAAAATTATGACACGATAATTGTAGTTAGATTTTTCATAAAATTGGAGTTCTCGCCTATTTATAACTTTATTATAGCTAAAAAACCATAAATAATTCAAATATAATTGCATATAATTTAAACAAAATAGATCAAGAATCAGGCTGGTCAGGTCGAGCGAACAACCTATACCCATCCCCTTAAAAACAATTTGATAAACCAAAATATAGATGCTATAAAACTAAAATTCTCCCTTATATATTACCATACATATTTACGAAAAGATATAGCTCGGATAATACTACCAACGATGAGGCAAAGGTGGTACACCATCATCAACAAATATAATGTTTTTTTACCTTCATGCTTCTCTTGTCAATTTTATTTAAGGGACCGACCATTTTTTCCTCCTGACTTTGCTTCGGTTGTGGGTTGTAAATGTGAGTAAGTCATATTATTAGGCAACAGTAACCTGCATTGTCCTCCTGACTTTGCTTTTGCTGTGGGTTATAAATGTGAGTAAGTCATATTATTAGGCAACAGTAACATGCATTCAGATTTATATATATTAAATTAGGCAACAATAACCTACATTGTCCTGCTGACTTTGCTTCGCTGTTGGTTGTAAATGTGAGTAATTCATATTATTAGACAACAGTAACCTGCATTCAGGTTTATATATATTAATAATATATGTACCTAGTATATATGCTCATTCGTAAATTCAACATTTTTGCAGATAAAGTCTAATCTATAAACTCCAAGATCACATAGGATTTTTTACCATGATACATGTACAATCGATTTTCATCATAGAGAAAAATGTTTGCCTTTTGATGTAGCTTGGAGTTTCAATGGAATATTTTTTTTCCTTATAATAATCTTTCTTTTTTAGCATCATACGCGTTATAGAATAAAATTACATAATATGAATGAGGGAGCGCAACAACCATCTCTTTAACGGTATGATTGAATGTTTTTTTTTTTGTCATAGAAATCTTGGTAGATTTACAAGGCAAGGATAAGGGTAGCCACAATAAACGGCATACTCACCTATCAGAAGACATATAGAACAAATAAGAAAAATAAACTAACAAAGAAGGTAATCCAGGAAAGCGTAGGGCATGTTGCGCCACTAAATGGGCAGCCCGGTTCGCATCTCGAGGAGTAAATTGTAAAACAACTTTTGGCAATTGGACTAGTAATGCATGAACCTCCGAATAAATTGCGCCAGCACGTGCATCTGATAAATTACCCGAAACCAGCTTGTCAATGACCACTTGGGCATCGCCTGTAAGTAACACATCCCGATCATGCCAATGCCATCGTTGCAGTAAATATAATGCTTCTTGTATAGCGAGCAACTCAACCAAGCCAGGATCCGACACTCCTCGAATAAAAGACCCAAAAGCAAAAGTCGGAACAATGCCTGTAAGACCGACAATACCAATGGCTCCAGAGTGATGGGGAGAAGTTGCACCATCAACCGCCAAACGCAAACCTTGAAAAGCACCAGTAAAAACTGCTGATGGAGCCTTAGTGCGTGACGACGAAGGAGGGTGAGGGGCCGGAGAGGCAAGGGCAAGACGGTTCGAGTCGCGATGTGAGAGGAATTGACGACGGAGAACAGGGATAGTGAATTGGGCATAAGGAGAGAACAGAACATTATTACGCCCTTTCCAAAGACGCCAACAGAGAAGAAGCCAATCAGAGATGATATCCGGGGCAGCATGGCATAATAAACTCCGCCACAACAGAGCGAAATGGTGAGAAGGATCAAAACCCAGCGGTAGAGAAATGCCAATTGCATCCCGAAGACGAATAGCCACAGGACAACGAATAAACAAATGTTCAAGAGACTCTCCTTCATCAGATTCGCAAATTGGACAAAAGGATGGAACATCAAGACCATGTCGCTGTAAATCCTCTCGAACCGGTAAAATCCGAAGCAGCATTCTCCAAAGAAAAAACTTGAGCTTTGGCATCACCGGTAAGGACCAAACTTTTGGCCACAAAGAAGGATCAAGAGGGGAGGCCGAGTCAACCGACCGAGATGCTTGAGGAGCCGAAAGAGCATTAAGTTGGAGCCCAAGATGATACGCCGACTTAACAGAAAAAGCGCCATTGGAGGTGTAATGCCAAACAAACTTATCCGGAGACAAAGTGCGGGGAAGGGGAATGGCAAGGATGCTCTGAACAGAAGATGAATCAAAAAAATCACGTAAACGAGTCTCATGCCAAGTGGAGGTAGTAGGAGAAATAAAGTGAGAAACAAACAAAGGAGAAACTTGTACAGAAGGAA